GGTAAAGTATCGAATTAAATGGTACTCCAATATTTGATTAAAAAATTGTAATATTTATTTTTAATATTGTATAAAAATATATTAATTAGTCGTATTTTAAAAAAATAAATCGTAAATATTTTATTAAAAATTGTAATATTTGTTTCTAAAATTATAGCAATTAAAGATAAAAAAATATCAATACAAAATAAAAATTTTATTTAAATTTCACGACAAATGAGAATTATAATTTCAATTCAAAATAAATTAGAATTTTGAAGACACATCAACACCAACTTGTAGGTTATTATCTTCTCTTTAGGAGAAGAGAAATTCTATTTAAAAAAGATTGTAAATATGTTAATTGAACGAAACTTAGAGTTGTGTGTTTGCTAGAGGCAATGCTACATTCAAAAGAACTTAGAATTTGGTGTAAAATAAATTCCATTAAAATATAGGCCAACATAATTTGCAGTAGAAAAATATATTATGCCAAAACTAATGTTGATATGACATACAAAATATGAAAGCAATAATAATATACATATACATAATTTCAAATCTTGTTAAAAACATTCTTCTATAGAACCAGAAAATGATCGAAATGTTGGTTTTGGTTTTATCATCTTATACATCTTAGATAATTATTAGATAATTATTGTCTTGCTTATGGTTCTTCTGAAATTGGTAGTGAACTTCAGCAACACCCACTCCTCTTGAACCCTTAAAAACAAACTTCGGGTGAATAAGAGTCTCATCCCTTTGACTATCCTCATGTTTATCAAAATCTTGTTCCTCCAAACATTGCAATGAGACATTTGCATTTGCTATATGTCAGGAAATACAATTAGTATATAATCCAATGAAAGCCATTGATATTCCTTGTGGAAGCATAAAATTCAATGGTTTCAATTTCCTAATCTTCAATTAGGGCTGTAGATGGAAATCAAATGCTCGGGAAATCAAATCATCTGCACCATATTGAACATATATTTATTATTATAAGGTTAATTATCAAATAACTTGAATGAAAATATAAGTTAACACTTGGCTTTGATGATGAATCACGTGTGAAAATCGACTCGATTAAGTAGATTTAAAATAGTGGATTTAAAATAGTGGTCTCTGGTTCTGTTGTGGCAGTCTCCAATTCTTCTTTAGCAATATTTTTGTTTGTGAAATTAGAGAAGCAAATGGTCACTCAGCCATAATATTGGCACTTAAAATGCTAAGACAACTCTGCAAACAATAATATTATAAAGCATTAAAACTAAAAACAAACTGTTTATTTCTTGGGCATGATAAAAAGCCACGCCATGACAGCCCTGTCCATCATTGCACACAGTGAGTTTAGGAAGATCATTGGTGCAACAGATGTCCTGTTGACCCCCATAAGCCGAACCACTAATCCTCTCTCTATCTTCAACCTCGAAAACAAATGCTTGAATCGACCATGAGACTTCAACCACGAAAACAAATGCTTGAATCGACCATGAGAAAGATCATTGTTTGAGTCGTTGATGTCTTTCACAGCTTCAATCGGTCGCGCCATTGATGTTACTATTTAGACCTGTTACAAAATCTGTATTAAAATGGACGTAATTTAGAATGCATGGAAGTTGTGATATCTTGGAATATCAAAATAATCCATTCTAATTCCAATAATATACATTTAATCTTGTAGTGTAATGATAAATAGTGAGTATTTTTAAATCATGTAATGAATAATATTCCATTTAATTATAATAGATCTAATTTGGCCATTCCAATTCCTTCCTCATTAACCGTGAGTCAAACATTAGAATTCAAATTCTGTCAAATATAAATAAAATAAATTAATAAATCAAATAAATAAAAAGTAGTGTAAAATTATGATAGATTGACATGTCAAAATTAAATGCCAAATGAATAGGGTAACAGCATAGTGTTGATTAGTCTATTATACCCTTGGAATAAGAAAAGTTATAACATCTAATCAAAATGTTAGACTTGGAATTTCCAGGTACTTTACTTTTAATAGATTGATAATAGATAGATTAAAGAAGAGTGGTTTAGAATTAATTTTTGATTTAAAATCATTCTTCTGAAATTTTTTTTCTTTCTTTTTTATTCAAATAAATGATTTCATATATATTTTACGTTTTTTCTTTGTGATTTCATTTGTTATTATACCAAGATAAATAATTATCTATATCATTAAATTATTTGACAAAAAAGTCAACTATTTATTATTGTCAATTTATCTTGGTATAATAAATATTATTTTTCTGTGAAAATAAAATGATAATTAATGTTGCATCGATTTTTAATAGTTTTTTTATAAATATTATATTAAAAGTATATTTTAAAAGATAAAAAAATTTCTCTTTCATATCCAACATGATTTTCAATATGAGTGTTTGTGGGTTGGAATGAATTTTTAACTGTTAATATTAAACTCGAATCAAACTATCCCACTTATTAATATGTTGACTTGTGTTTGTAGGTCATTCACAAAATATTATTTTTAAATTTTAAATTAAATATCAATTGAATTAACACATTTATTTTACAGAAAGAATAAAAAACAAAAAATTTTAATATCTCATTTGAATACAATGTACTGTTCAATACATAAGAACTCCTTCATAATTTGAATCAAGTTAAAAAACAAATACAAATTATGTAAAACATATTTTTAAAAGGTAAGATATACTTAAAAGGTAATTTCTTAAAATATATTAATAGTGATATATAGTAACTAAAATTGAATGCTTTTGAGAATTAAAAACAAACAATTATTCACTTTTATATTCCATTTAATGTCATGATTAATTTTCTTTTTTAGTAGTAAATACCATTTTATAATTCTATTAATTAGTATACTAGATGCATTTTGTTAGCACATTGTTTTGGAAAACCATCTTATCAAGGGTGGAAACTATGCATATAAGATAATTAAATTGATTTATGATCAATTTATTTATTATACTTTTTCAATGTATCAGTCATAGTCAAGTAAATCATTAAATTTTTGACCAAATAATTAATATTAGTACATGTATTAAAAGTGTATTGCCCTCTTTTTAACATTTTAAATTTTTCATAAATTAAATTATATTTAAAATATAATTCTTTCACTCTTATTTTTACTATAGAAATTTGAATTTAACGTGGATAAAAATAATACATTTTCACTTTAATATGAACAAATATTCGTAGATATATTTGATTTTACTAGAAATAGATTATCGGCTTAATTTTTAAATTATAATTATCTCTTAAAACTTATAAAAAATCTAAAGTTAGATAAACCTAACTTGTTTTTGATAATATTTGGTCTAATAATTAAAGGAACATGATTCCACCAAGTGAAGTTTAAGAGAGACAAATCATTAGTGACAAGTTTGTCTATACAATGGTTGCCTTATCCAAAGATATCAATAATAAATGAAAAGCATATTCATGGCTATGACCATGTTGTTCACCCATATCTCAAGGAATTAGAGGAGGAGACTTGCAAGCCAAGGTAAGGCAAAGGAACCAAGACTATCACCAACACCATTCTTGAAAATATCTACATAGGCTAAGGGGGTCATGGCATCCAAGTGTAGCACCATCAATGTTGAACATGTTCCAATTGAGGTTAAGAGGGTAACATATGATGACTTCAATGATGTTTGGAGCTTTAGGGGGTGAGAGTTAGATTTGAAATTTTTTAAGTTCAAGAAATCAGATATGGTGGTGGCCTGTTGCAAGCTTAGTAAGGTTCATGTCCTAGAAACAGAAACAATGATCTTTAATGTCACTGAGTTCAAAATCTCACGTCATTCCGAAATTTGCACTAAGGACTCCATCCTTTTTTTGCAAACCTTAAAAAGTGGAAAGAACTGAGGAGTGTCAATTTTATGGCAAAAGAACAATTCAAAGCAATTGTTGTAGAGATTGCACTTTGAAGGGGAGTAACAACCCTTTAACGTTAAATTCTCATAAGTTGGAATCTTATTTAAATTATTTTTATTGATGAATGAATACTCATTCATAAAAAAAAATTAATAGTTGGATTGAATTTTGAATTTAAATATTTAAAAATTTATATTTTAAATATAAATAATTAACCTATGACCCATAGTAGATTAAATTCAAACTTTATATTCTTACAAAATATTCAATTTAGATTTTGTAAAGTGTATATTGAATTACGAGTGCGAATTTTACATCTAACTATTTTGGTAAATGTACTTTTAAGTTCTTTACTTTGATTAAATTAAGTTTTTAATTACTCAATTTCTAAAATCATATTTTTAATTGTCAATTACTTTAAAATAGAAAAAAAAGAGAGGAGAGAGAGAGAAGGTTTAGAGAGAGGAGAGAGAGAGAGAGGAGGTTTAGGGAAAGTGGTGATGTGAAGTAAAGAGGGGTATACACACACAAACACAAAAATAATAAACATTAAAACATAAAATCAACTCAACAAGACACACACTGTGAAGAAAGAAAGGAACGAGATTAAAGAAGAAGAAGAAGAAGTGAAAGTGCATGTGTAAGCTTAGCTGTACTTACCGGAATTATCGCTTCATTTCCCGTTTTTCCCTCACTCACTGAGTCACTGCGGTGGTGCGTCGAAGAGAGAGAAAAAAATCACCACAACCACCACCACAACCACCACCATCACCACCACATCACCATCACCATCACCGAACCTTAACTATCATTTTCTTCTTCTCTCTCCAACGTAGTTTTTTTTTTTAATTTTTTAATTTCAACCCACCCTATTTATTATTATTAATAATAAGTATCTTTTTTATTTTGTCCAAATTTAAATTTCTTCTTTATTTTCCCTCTGCCCAAAGAACAAGAAGAAGAAGAAAAGAGTAGGTGGAAAACACAACAACACCATTGAAGACACAAAACCACCTTCTGATTCAGGTAACACTTGTTTTTAGTTTTTATTATTATTATATACTATATATGTTATATATCTGAATACTGAATTGTGATTGATACACTTAGGTCAATGGTTTAGTATCAAGATTGGATCAATGGTGGATCGTAGATTCATAGTTTGGTTTCTGCTATTGCTGTTGTTTCTGTGTTTTGAGGTAACATTGGAACAGATTGAGATTAAGCCATTGAGTTCACCTACAGAACGTGCAGCACTTCTTCAACTTCGAGCTTCTTTAGGTTTAAGAACCAAAGAATGGCCAAGAAAACCCGACCCTTGCTTAATCTGGATTGGTATTTCGTGTAACAATGGACGTGTTGTTGGGATCAATATCTCGGGTTTTAGACGAACAAGAATTGGTAGAAGAAACCCTCAGTTTTCTGTTGATGCTTTGGTTAATTTCACCTTGTTGCAGTCTTTTAATGCCTCTGGTTTTTACCTACCTGGGGCTATTCCTGATTTGTTTGGGGTTAGTCTCGGTTCGCTTCGCGTGCTTGATCTCCGTTCTTGTTCAATTGGAAATGCTATTCCGAATTCTGTTGGGAATTTGACTAGGCTTACTGCTCTTTATCTTGCTGATAATAATCTTACTGGAATTGTTCCTGATAGTTTAGGTCAACTCTTGTCGCTTTCGGCTCTTGATCTCTCGGGGAATTCTCTTACGGGGATTATACCGGAGTCTTTTGGGTTTCTTGCGAATCTTTCTTCACTTGATTTATCGGGGAATTTTTTCTCCGGGCCTGTTCCTTCGGGTTTAGGGAATCTTTCTAGGTTACAGTACTTGAACCTTTCTGGTAATAGCTTAAATTCATTGCCTGCACAATTGGGAGGTCTTGTTAGCTTGGTTGACCTTGATCTTAGTGAGAATTCTTTCTCCGGCGGTGTTTTTCCGGATTTGAAAGGGTCGGGGAACTTGCGGATTATTGTTCTGAGGAAAAATAATTTCACTGGTTCTTTGCCTGTTGAGTTGTGGTCATTGCCGAGACTGACGTTCGTAGATGTTTCTTCTAATAGCTTCAGTGGTTTGCTTCCGAATTCTAGTTCCTCTGTCGATTCTACTGTTGCGGTTCTAAATATATCGCATAACATGTTTTATGGAGGTCTTACACCTGTGCTTAGAAGGTTCAGTTTTGTTGATTTTGCAAACAATTATTATGAGGGTAAGGTTTTGGATTTCATGCATAACGTATCAATAGATAGTAACTGTCTCCAGGATGCGACAAATCAGAAGTCAACAGTGGAATGTGCGTCGTTTTATGCAGATAGGGGCCTCAGTTTTGATAATTTTGGACAACCGAATACGACAAAACCTGTAGAAGGTTCTGAGAAAAGTAATAAAACTAAGATTATATTGGCGGCAGTTTTGGGTGGACTTGGTTTACTTGCACTTTTGGCTTTGCTACTGGTACTGTTGCTTTTGTGCGCTCGTAAAAGGGGCAATTCAAGTCCAAGGGGAAATGGTGTGGGCCCTGCTCCTGCTGCAGGCAGTCCTCCGCCTCCCGGTGTATCGATAAACCTTGCAAATGTAGGAGACTCGTTTACGTATCATCAGTTGCTTCAGGCAACGGGAGATTTTAATGATGCAAATCTTATAAAACAAGGCCACACCGGGGATATCTTCAACGGTGTTTTGGAAAATGGGATTCCCGTTGTCATCAAAAGGATCGACATGCGATCTACGAAAAAGGATGCTTACCTATCGGAATTGGACTTTTTTAATAAGGTTTCTCATCCGCGATTTGTTCCCTTATTAGGTCACTGCTTAGAAAACGAGAACGAGAAGTTCCTGGTTTATAAACTTATGCCAAAAGGGGACTTGTCTAATTGCTTATTCTTCAAAAACACCACATCTGAAGATGGTACTTTGCAGTCATTGGACTGGATTACTAGATTAAAGATTGCTACTGGAGCCGCAGAGGCCATATCGTATCTGCATCATGATTGTATTCCACCTATTGTTCACAGGTATTTTTGGATTTCCTCTCTTGCTTGTTCTTATTTATTTCTTGTCTGTTTTTGCAAGCTGTTCCATTTTGAGAACTGATACAATACCTGGTTTCTTATCGCTGTAACTAATTATAAAAGATACTGTCATAAAGGTTGGTATTTGGTTTCTCTGTCTTTAAGGTGACTATGCATAAGTGACCTCTTTAAGAGATATTGTCATTATTTTTGCGTGTTACTATCCACTTGCTAGTTGTTTGTTACTCAATAGAGTTGAAAAAAACTAAAGTTGGAAACAGGTTCTACTCGTGAATGTATTCTCTCCAATTGATTGGAATGGAGAAGCAACAAGTTTACTTAATAGTAGTTCAAACTTAATAAGCATGTCTTGTAAATATTGTAGAGATATTCAAGCGAGCAGTATACTTCTCGATGACAAGTATGAAGTTCGGTTAGGAAGTCTAAGTGAAGCCTGTACTCAAGAAGGTGATACCCATCAAAGTAAAATCACCCGGTTTCTGCGATTGCCTCAGTAAGTTCTCCACTAACATTGTATAAAATGAACACCATGAGAGTTATATTTAAATGGTCAGTCATTGTGCATTGAAAGTACTGTGCTTTGCAGGACTTAATCATTTAGGATGTTTTTGGGAAAAATGGTTATGCTGTGAAATTATCTACTGCTATCAGAATTATTTTATATATATTAGATGTCTTGTCTTGCCCGTCTGTATGCGTGTGTTTTAAATTATGAATGTTGCTCATTTGGTTTTTTGTAATCACTACTCGTTCTTTTATCCTGCTCTGTGATTGAGTTGCATTATGAGTTTAACTTGTTTGCATGCCATTCCCGCAAATGCATATTAATTGCTATTACAACACGTATCTAATTTCTCATTTCTACTTTTCACGTGTAGGTCCTCTGAACAAGGTGCATCTGGTAAGTAGAAACTTTAATTTAGCTTTTACTTTCAGAATGGATTTGAAGTCAATTTTATTCCTTGATTGATTGCTTGTCCGTATCATCCATAATTCTGTACTTTCTCCTTACAAATATCTTGTGCATACTTGGATTTGCTTACTTAGGGGAAAAATGCCCCCTCCCGTAAAAGCCGTATCAGTAAGATTTATAAGCTATTTTGAACAGAAAATAAGCTTATCCAAACACACCATTTGGTTTTTGACCATGGTGTTAGGGACTGAGCAATTCTCATCTTTTAGTTTTAGTTGATATATAATGGTGTTCAGACTATCACTGAATTGTGTCTGTGAACCACAAAGTAGAAATAGGAATATCAGAAAAGAAACTTTCCACTTTGTCCTGGTTAGATGTCCCTCTGGTTATCTATATTTACGAAATATAGTGTATTGGATTTGCATGTTAGAACGAGAAGCTTTGCTGTTCCAGACATGCACTCTAAAAGCTCATGCCAGTTTGGGTGGTCTGTACTTGTCTTTAGGGTGGGTGGTGTGTTTGTTTCATGAGGTGGCAATGAATTCTATTGCTTACTAATTTTTTTGAATTCATACAAAATTCTTGGGAATGTCATAACATTAGCGTAACACTTCTTTCCGAAAATCCTTAGGGATAGTATTCCCATCATCAACTATTTGGAAAAGTTATTATGGGAGATGAATTTAGATAACTTGAAACAAATACCTTGTGGCAAGTCCTAGCTTGTTTTTTATGAATAATTTGGATCAAGTGATTGATCTAGTGGTTTGTTTTATATGCTTGTTGTGGTAATTGTATTTTCTGCTTTTTTGACTTGTGGTAATGCTGGAAATATATGTTGAGCTAGGAAGAATAATTATTTCATTCTTATTTTGACACAAATTGTGTACTGTGAAAACAGGTTTACCAACATCTGTTTGTGCCTATGATGTTTATTGCTTTGGGAAAGTGTTACTTGAACTTGTGACTGGTAAGCTGGGTATTAGTGCATCAAGTGAGGGTGAATTGAAGGACTGGTTTGATCAGATTCTTCCTTGCATTAGCATGTATGACAAGGAGCCCGTGACAAAAATCGTTGACCCATATCTAGTTGTGGACGAGGATTTCTTAGAAGAAGTGTGGGCAATATCCATTGTTGCCAGGTCTTGCCTAAACCCGAAACCTTCAAGACGACCCCCAATGAGATACGTTCTCAAGGCTTTGGAAAACCCTTTAAAAGTTGTAAGAGAAGAAAGTTCGAGTTCTGCGCGGCTTAAAGCAACCTCTTCTAGAGGCTCTTGGAACGCTACTTTGTTTGGTAGTTGGCGTCAGAGCTCGTCTGATGTAGCCACAAACCCTGCAGCTTCTGGTACAAAAATAGAAGGAGCAAGTAGTTTGAAGCTTTCAGCAACAAGTAGTTCATCCTCGCGGAGACGTCATTCAAATGAGATATGTCCTGAGCCATCATTTCGCTTACCTGATATAGAGAGGCTGGAGCATGAAGGAAGAGAGGCTTAAGTTTTAAACTTTTTTCTTCTTCTAGTTCCTTAATACCCTTGTGCTCTTATTGAACAGACAAATTGGCACTAAATTCATACATGGAACACATGATACCTTTCAAAGGGGAACATTGTTTTTGTTTTCAGTGATTTTGGACACAAACTTGTGGAGATAGATGTAGAGTGAAGAGAAGACCAATTGGCAACTGCTATGGTAGATATGGATACTTCTTTGACTGCTTGTTTTGGACAGAGACAAGCTCCATTTTTTCACCTGTAATTGGAATTTTTTTACCCTTTGTCCTGAGTCTTTTAGCGAATGTACATTTTGGATTCGGCGCGACTCTAAAGTGAGTAGAGAGTAAAGTAAGTAATCTCAACCATTAATGAGAGAATCAAGGGTTGATAATTCAGCATACTTGTGATTTTTCATGTATGTACATGTGATATTGACTATTGGTTTATTTATCAATTGTTGATATTACTTACTTTATACTTTAAAGTGACATCCTCATTTTGAAGAAAATAGATTCGTTAATTTTAATGTGTAAGATATTATTATTCTTCATTCAAATCATAGTCGATTGTTTTCTGGGAGAACAGGAACAAGGTCAAAATTTCAGAGAATGAATTAGAAAACAGGTTTTACTGGTTTTATGGCACAGCCACTGATGAACCTCTAAGTTGGTTTTGGAAACTTCATTCAATCTTTGTTACTATTCACACATTTATGGTTTTCTTTTGCAAGACCAAACCGGTAGCTTTCAGGAATAGTTCATTGCATAGTAATGATTAAAAATATGGTCACTTTTACCTCTTTTTTATTGATTAGGAGCTTATACAATTCTTTTCTTAAAAATATAGAAGTTAACATCCAAACACCTCTCAAAACACACGCAAACACTTCGTAAGTGAGTCACTTCCATGTCATGTCATAACGACAATGAAGACGAAGACAGCGATGATGAGGATGATGAATGAGATTTCACAAGGACTTAGATCTCTTCGAGATACCCGACATTCGAGAAGCTTTTGAGGAAAGATCAAAATTCTGTTATGGTGTCAACTTTGAAATTGCTATTAACAATGGCTAATACTAGCCGGAACATTGATCATTATTCACCTATAACATCACACATATCACATGCTCTTTGTTCTATGAAATTCTTATTCCCCTAAAAATTGATCAAAATTGTAAGAAAATAGAAGGCTACTACATTAATACTGGACCAGTCATATCATGATTCCATAAAATCTTTGATTTGATATGTATTTTGATTGGTTAAGTCTAGTCAATAGATCTTTTACCTGTTGCTCTTAACGGTTCATTCAATCTGCAAGGGAACTAAAGTCAAATGGTGACTTAGTGTAGCCATGCAACTTGTCTCTAATAATATATACTTGATCTTGCAATATTATTGTTAAGCATTTTGATTGTAGAGAATCCACATGGTGCGTTGGTTATTGTACTGTGCACTGATTAGATAGTGCTTTGAATGTGCTATTAAAATATGACACCATGGGGTGTTCTTACTACATTAGTATATATCTTATAAGATGCTTAAAATTCAAAGGTATACAAGGAACTGTCTTTCTTGTAAATTTTACTGTTTCAAGAGCATCACACTAACACTCATGAATTTCCAAATTTCTAGAGCGTAGAATATGAATGTTCATGATTTAAATTTGTCATTTTAAACGGCTTTTAGAAACTCATTTGACTTCGATCGTGAACGTCAAGAGATCAACAATTAGACAATCATCCATTGATCCTCCATCAATATTATGAACCCAAGTTCTTTGTTAAGTCACCGATAAAGGATAAAAGATGTCAAAATAATCAAGTACTAAGTAGGAACGCACCACACTCTCCTTGCCAAAATCTAAGACTCTAATTGGAGCACAACGCAAGAATCTGTCGGACCTTCCTTGCAAATTAATCCAAGACTTCCACAAAAAGTAAACATAGAAACCTAACTAGCTCTTGTAAATTAACGCAAGACTTCCATAGAGAGTAAATGCAAGAATCCATCAAACTCTTCTTGCAAATTAACCCAATACTACCATAAAGAGAAAACGTCACAATCCATCGGGCTCTCCTTGCAAATTAACCCAAGACTTTTACAAAGAGAAAATGCAAGAATCCACATGACTCTCCTTGCAAATTAACCCTAGACTCTCCATGCTTCAACCTCATGTTCTCCGGGAGAGCACAAAGCGTGAAGCCGCAACATCCATGTAAAACTCTTGCGAAAACACAAAATGGAATCCGTCAAGATCTCTAACATAGCTGAAATCTTCGAGCTCTTGGTAGTTTCTAAATAAAATCAGAAGAATCTTCTCTAAATAGAAAAAGCAAGTCGGTTCACCAATTGAGACACCCCGAATAAGAAGGCCAGATTGATAATCAACTGAGAAGCTGCCTCGGCCCAACCGACCCAACATCAATAAATAAGAAGACTTCAACTACACTTAAGAAAGGACAATGCAAGGAAAAACTAGTTTATAGACAAGTTACACCAAAATAGAGAAATCTCAGCCATGGAGTTAGCCTAAGCCAGTAGCTTTGGAATAATTTTAGAAGGATGATAAAAATCAATCTTTCTTCATGAAACATCTTATTCTCACCACTATAGGTCTCATGCTTGGGAACTATGTATATTCCGGTCAAAAATTGACTGACATAAAAGCAACAAAATCAAATGAGATTATGAAAAAGAGATATGCTAAGAAGGAAGTTCAGTTAAAGGCGGCTTAAGCACAAACATGTAACAAAATACCATAAGCACATTTTAAACTCCACCATAAGGATAACAAGACCCCCCACACCATAATAAAAGAGGAAATAAGATCGTCATGTCTCTTAAACACTTTGTTCATACATATCTCGTGTTTGGAGAGTGTATACAATTTAAGGTCAATTTAATCGGGTCAGGTTAATTATCGAATCCAAATACCTTGTCCGATCAAGGCTGACCTCATTAGGTTAGATGTGACTAAGATACCTAAGCCCGATAATAAGCCAATCTACCCCACATAAAATAATGAAATGATTAATATAATAAATTGATGTTAAATGCATATAATATAGTCATTAATGTGAAATCAAAGACAAGAAATCACATATCTAAAAGCCATTTAATTCTTTCATCAGACAAGGAAATAAACATCTTAATGATCAATAGTATGGTCATTTAAAACTGCATTTTATAGGTTATGACAAATACTCATTATTTTTGCATAACTGTTTTTATTTATTTATCTCTTATGAATACATATGTGATTTATGTATTAACTAAGATTATAAAAATATGTGATTTATATGGTGGATAATATAATTTATATGATATGTTTTTTTATGTCCATTGCATCACTTTTTAAAAATAGAAATAAAAATATTAAAATTCGAGATAATTTATGGGTGAAAAAACAAGTCCGATATGTCGGGTATGTTTGTGTTGTCCTATTTTTTTGCGGGATAACTTAAATTTTTAGGTCTGTCTGTCCCATCCGTCTCGTTTTTTATAGATTTTTAAGGATGTAGGAATTAATATTAAATTTTGCAATTTAAAACTTAAAATGGGCAATGTCTACGGGTCCATCCCGTCTCGCATTCTTTTTTTTTTTGCAGAGTAGGATAAGATTTTAGGCTCGTCTCTTTAACAAAGTCTGTCTCGTCTTATATTTTACAAATTTTTGCGAAATGAATATAAATGGAATGAACATACTCGTTTACCACCCTCAAATCACATAATTCATTAATAATATAGTTGAATTCAATTTTAGTTGTTCATGAAGCATGTGAGCCAAATAATTTGTCACCTCTGCCAAATTAGAGGTGAAAAAAAAAGAAACAACTCACAAATCAAGAGATTTATATAAACTGTTACTTTTAAGAGTCGGTTGAAATCAAGAGTGTTCATGATTTATAAACTGCATTGAATTAAATTGTAATTATAATTCGGTTGAGATTACAATAACCACTTTTCAATAAAAATTTAATTAATTATTAAAATACTTTCAATTCAATTTAAAATTAGTTTAAAATCAATTTATATTTATAAATTAGTTTATAATCAGTTTGTAATTTTAAACCAATTTTATATTTTGAACCATTTTAAAATCAGATTTTCTAATTTCATAAAAAATTAAAATGTTTTATATTATTTTATTTTCAAAAAAGGAAAATTCAAAAATATATTTATTTTGGAAAAAAATTACTTTCTTAATAAAATATATATTCTATTTTTGGAAAAAAATTATTTATTTTCATACAGAAATTAATTTTTTATTTTCAGAAAAAAAATATTTTCAAAAACTTTTTTATTTATTTTCGTAAAAATTTATCATCTTATTACATTCGTAAAAAAATACCAAACATTATTAGAAAGTATATATATAAAGTGAAACACACGTATTACAGAAATTAAAAATTCAAATACTTGTTTAAGCCTAACTCTTGTATACACAGTAGCTAATGACATTAATACATTAATATTATTTCTTTAATCTCTTCCCAAATTAATTCTAAAATTAAAACAGACCTTCAGAACCACACTAGTTTCATCTGGAAGGTTCACTGTGATATCCATGACAACAGGAAGAACTGCAAAATTACCACAACAACAAATAAGTGCTTATTTGTATAAGCTCTCAAGTTAAGTGCTTATTTGTATAAGCTCTCAAGTTAAGTGCTTATATTAATAGAACTTAATTATTTGTATATGAACAATTCCGAATTAGAAATTTCGTTACTCTTTTCTTCCTTCTTCTTCTGTGATATCAACAACAAATAAGTGCTTATTTGTATAAGCTCTCAAATTAAGTGCTTATATTAATAGAACTTGATTATTTGTATAGAACTTAATTAAGTGTTTAGGGTAATTTATATGTAAGTTAAAAATATTAACTTCACACTCCTTACGAAAAACAATAATAAATTTTTATATTATATTATTGCATAAATATAAACCATAATATGAAAAAGGTCCCACCGAGAATTGAACTCGGGTTACCAGA